CAGAATGCTTGTTCTTTCCCAAGCAAGCTGATATGAAACTCTTTAGTTCCTTCCAATAATTGCTTTTCTGGGGAAATGTTTAACCAGGGACAGCTTAACTAGAAAAGGGGTTCTGATCCAAGATCAAAGTATGACCAGGATTAGGAGACAAGTAGCCATTTTTTTCTACATAGCAATGTATCTAGTCAGATCTGGAATAATTTCTTCTAGATGGCTAAGTTGAGCTGTTCTATGCCTGCATCTATTTTGTACTGGTTACCAACCTAGCAGACTCAAAATTTGAGCTCTAATGGCAAGAAAAATTGGTCTCTGATTCTTGCTGCTATCTTGTGGACAAATTTATCAGAAAGAAATGGCAGAATTTTCAATTCAAAGGCAAAATCTGTGGGGGAGTTCATGAAAATAGCTGTGGGCAGAGTTGGGCATCGAGTCTCAGTGCCCAATGTTGTTTATTTGTGTTCACCTGTATTATCTTTCGATCATGATGATCATGGTATGATGTAAGTTGCTGCTTGTGGGGAGCTCCTTGGTGTCTGAAGCTCTGGCAGGTGGTCTTGTTGTATCTTTTCCTCTTTCAGCAATAGAAATTACCTTGTCTTTCTCAAAAAAAAATGCAAATAGTTGAAAGCAGTAGAATCTGCATCTCCAATTTCATGACAATCCAAGAACATCTTAGTGGATTTTCTCTTTGCTGCCTTCCAGAATTACTAATGGCATAGTCCCACGGTGGGATAACAACGCATACCTCTTCTATTGTGGTTTTGTATGATTCTTGCTTCTAACCTTGTCTGTGTATCCTTATTACGAGAACGTCTTCTTAAACTTTTGCATAGGTAATCGGAATCAATGTATTCATAGATGGGTGTCTGATTTCTGGTAAGATGATGCACCTAGCTAAGTAACTGTGCAACTGTGTCTATCAATGCCGAATTGATCCTAATTAGCCAAAATGACAATCCCACGAATCATTGCAAGATATAATACAACTGTATTGTTCCTTTCCTTTTTCGCTAAACAAAAAAGAAGAAAAAAGAAGTAATTTAGACTTATGAAACTAGAAGAGAAACCCATTATAGCATTACCACTAAAATATTAAATAAAAACAAGTGCATGGAAATGACCTAACCTTCCAGCATCCTCAGGGCTAAACTCAACGTCCTGACATCCCAAACTCCTGGCGTAACTCACCATATCCCTCGCTATCTGGATTACCTCCTCCCTGGACTTTCTCAATTTATGCTTCATATGAATCTCACTAGTCGCAATAAACGTATGTATCCTGGGCCGCTTGGCATGCTTCACTGCCTCCCAAGCCGCATCGATGTCAGCACGATTACACCTGGCCAAGCCACAGATAACCGGAACATATCCGGTCTCATCAACGTCGTTTCCAACTTCCATGGCGATGGTCTTGACAGCTTCCAGATCGTCCTTGGAGGCGGCAGGGAATCCGGCTTCGATGATGTCAACACCAAGCTTGGCAAGCTGCCGGGCAATGTCAAGCTTCTCCTTGCTGGTCATGGTGGCTCCGGGGGATTGCTCTCCATCGCGGAGAGTGGTGTCGAAGATGCGGACGTACAGAGGATCGGGGATTCGGTTGGGAATGTACTCGGGACGGGCTGAGGCGCAGCATTTTATAGTTTTGGAACTGAAGGAATCAACAGAACGATGTGGTGAACGGACAGAGAAGGATTTCGTCACAAGAAAAACAGAGTGAGCAGGAGGATTGTTAGGGATGAAGGTAACGGTCCTGATGTTGCACGGGGCGAAATAAGAGCTTATGAAGGAAGCAGCCATGGATGACAGAAGTGGTGGCTCAGCAGCAGCCTGGACTTAGGTGTTGTTTGTGCAAAGCCTGGTGGTAGGGTTTAACAGCTCTATATACTCCGTCTTTTCTTTGACAGGGAAGAAGAAACGGGGGCAGCTACAGCTCTGAGTCTCTGACGTGAGCATCATGATGTGGGCCTTCTCTTCGAGAAATAAATCCACAAAAAATATCCATTTGTCTGAATCCGATTAAAATGATCCGACCAGGGGTAAGGATTGCCCGGCCCACCAATCAAATTCAATTTACAATTGGTTTGAGTATGGCTCGACCCAACCCGACCGGAGTAACATTCAAATCGTTGTTTTCAATCGGTGTTTAGAAAATCGGATCGGATCGGCTGGTTTGGACCGGTTGAATCTAACGTTGGTCCTTATCAGTTCAGTCATACTCCAAAACCAAATTAGATAAAAACAGGCCAAAATACCGACCCGATTGGTCAAACGAAGAAACTAGTGAATCGGTCTCAGTTTAAAAGAAAAAAATCAGTCTTTTTTTTTGAAAATTTTTTAGCAGATAAATGCAAATTCCTAGAGCCCATGACTTTGTGTTTGAATGTATGATTGGGATGATTTTTTTTTATTTTGGGTAATTTTTTGATATCTATGTATTTTCAAGGTGTCAAATGCGGTTTGTCCTATATATTTTGAATATTTTATAATCTAATATATAATTTATAATATATTATATATTATATATAATTTATAATTATTACATACATACATAGTACATTATCACGATTCGACCCTAATTGAACTTTTGACCTGCTAACCTCTCCCTTTTCCAAGTTAATGTCTGGTCCGGTTCTCTAAATATTTTGTTAAAAAATAACAATATAATTAAAATTATTTAAAAAATATTAAACAAATCTAGGTTATTTTCTTAAGGGACATTCTTTGAAACTCATTATGACTTTTCAAAATTTGATGAGCTCGTGAAGTTTTTCAACAACTTATGGATGAATATGAGCCCTGACGGCTTATTCTTCTACATGAGACTAGGCCTCCAATCCAGATGGAAGTTCACTTGTGTTTATGGTAATCCGATGACAGAGGAAAGGCATGTTAAGAACATGGTTCAAAGTATTGATTTGATACGAGTTTCGGTTGTATCGTATCGGTATTTAGAAACAGTCGATACATACTTTTTTTTAGTTTTTTGGGAAGTTTATAAGATATTTTTTATTATTAAAAAAATTAGGGGTCCGAAACACCTAGAAACAAACATTTTAGACCGTATCTTTTTCAAAAGATACGATATGATACGCCAACATTGGATAGGAATGAGAACACACGTGGCTATTAATAGGTGATTTTAATGAGATCAAAAACTTGGGAGAGAACTAGGTGGAACGAAAAGGCCTGGAAGATAAATGAGGGAGTTTAATGAAATGATAGGAGAGTGTTGCTTAGTGGATCTAGGGTGCCAAGGCCCAAAATCCACGTGGACCAACAATCAACATGGGAGAGAAAATATCAAGGAAAGGCTTGATACATGTCTTGCATCTTCTAATTGGCAAATCCATTACAATGATGTTGTCGTTTAGACCTGTTCATGGGTTAGGTAGCCCAATGGGCCGGCCTAGCCCTAACCCGTTCTAAGTTGGGCTTGGACATTATTTTAAGCCCACAGACTTGGGCTCGGGCCTAAAACACTCCAGCTAACCTTTTTTTCCAGGTTGGGCTCAGGCTTTCTCAAAAAAGTCTGGTGTGAGCCTAAGCCTGACTTGATAATGTATATTATATAATGAAAACATATTTCATTTAATAATATATATACAATATTTTTTTATTTGTTTATCTTCTCTTTTTTAAGTAATAGTGAGATCTTTTATTATTTTGAGTTTTGAGGATTTTTAATATAAATAAAACACTTTTTATTGAATAAAAAAGAAAAAAAAAATTCTATTTTCAAATTTCTAGTTGGGCTTGTGCTCAGGTTCGTGCTTTGTGCTTTATATGAGGACCGGATTTGTGCTCAAGACTTAAGCCTGATGGTTGGGTCGCGCTCAGGCTCGAGCCTGAATGTATTCTATTGATACATAAATAAAGCTCAAATTGAACCTGGCCAACCCAACCCATGAACAAGTCTATTGTTGTCTACCATGAAGTATTTTTTGGGCAATTAGGCATGGCAAGAGTGAGCCAAAAGCTGAAGGAGTGTGTGATTTGGCTCGATTCATTAGAGATTTGAGGTAGCTAGGAGAGAATTGTTAAAATGTTTAAATGGCAATGGGGACCTCGAAGAGGAACGTTGTTTAAGGAGGAACTTAGAAGAAAAGCTTCAAAGGGAGGAGGAATTTTTGAGGTGTAAATCAAGAGTAGAGTGCTTGTGAGGAGGAGATAAAAATACTGTTTTTTCCATCTACCATAGTCATTCGAAGACAAAAAAAAAAGAAAAAAAATTGTGTTTATGCAATGGTGACTGAGATTGGTTGTATAATGAGGAGATAGAGGGAGAAATATATAATTCAATACTTTCAATCACTATTCCAAACAACAAACTGAGTCTTGCATGAAACCTAGTTTTTAAACATTCAAGAGATAATTCCAAACAACAAACAAGCTGTGCAACATTGTTTCTCTTCTAATACTATCAATAAGATTTTAGCCAAATGTATTGTTAATTGTCTTAAGCCTTGCATGGATTACTTAGAAGACGATTATCATAATGCTTTTATCCACGGCCGATCCATTTCAAATAGTGTAATGATAACTCATGAAGTGTATCACTACTTGAGTCCAAGAAGAAATCTAGCCAATGCTTCAATCATGGTTATAAAGCTTGACATGAATAAAGCTTATGACTGTCTAGAGTGAAAATTCTTGATTCAAATGTTGAAGAAGTTAGGATTCCCACCCCTAGCTGATCTCATCTATAGTTGCATCTCCTCAATCCAGTATTCAATGATGATCAATGGTTGTAGTAAAGGAAGGATTAAACCAAAGTAGGGTTTGAGACAAGGAGACCCACTGTCGCCATACTTATTTATATTTCACAATTATTCTTCATTGATGACATTGTTTTGTTCTACAATGCGGATGTGGTAAATGCTTTGAAAGTGAAGCAAGTTTTGGATAACTTATGTGGTTCTACATGGTTATAAGTCTTTCAAACATCTCTCATCTTGTAGTTGATGATGCCTTGCTTGTCTGGCAATTTAGTCATATACCTCGAGAGGCCAATGGAGTTGCGGATAGTGTTGTAAGAAGAGTTGTGTCATCCTCTTTCTCATTTCATCCTTCTTGTTCATTGCCCCTATGGTTATCAAATGTTGTAGTAACTATCAACGAGTTTTGTTGTCCAAAACTCACTTTCAATTAGTGATCATTAATAGAAGATGTCCACATAAGCATTTAAATAATTTATATAACCAAACTACCCTTGAATGGACAATTAACCTTACTAAATATTTTTTTATGACAAAAAAAAGTAGTAATATTCCCACGTGCATAATGATATTGGTGGTATTCTTGCTAGCATGGTTTTTTTTATGGATAAAAGTTCACCATATTAAACATCAAATGCTAAAAACATACAAACTAACCTTACTAGGGGTTCGACCAAACAAAAGAAACCCCTCTAAAATATTTAACTTGTTGAACTATAACATAAGTTAGTTTAGTAATAGTTTTGGACTTATATATAAAAAAAAATCCACAAAAATACTAGGTATATGGCAAACAACCCATCCACTACATTCTCTTTACCATTCACAACATTCAAAACATTCTTCGTGATGCGTCATGCTTTTTAAAGTATATTTAAAAATTATATAAAATATTATTAGATTGAGCTTGGGCTTGAGCCATGCTTTTTTAAGAAAGCCCGAACCTGGCCTAAACAAAGTTGGGCTTAGTGTTTTAGACCCAAGCATGAGCTTGTGTATTATCTATGCCTGACCATTAAAAAGTTGGACTAGCCCAACTCATCAAGCAATTGGGCCCATGTGAATAGGTTTGCTCACCACTTGCAAATAACCATTTATATTTTTAATCAATTAGTTTCAATCAATGTTTTCAACCCATCATTGACCTGACAGATTGAATAGCTCAAACAGTCTCCTTGTCAAAATTTTGAGTCTGGTTCGAATAAAACTTAGAGAAATGTTAAAACCTGCCCGATCCAGACTAATGATCCAATTGACCCAGTCATGGGTTGCATACTAACCATGTATGCAAACTTTGGGGCACCATAATACATATATCATATCTAAAACATATAATTATACATTATTTATTGGTAAAATATGTATTTGTACATATATACTGATAAAACTCATATTAGATGTTCGTATAAGTTCAGATCAGAAGAAAGAGAAGGAGAAGAAGGAGAAGAAGGAGAAGAAGAAGAAGGAGAAAAGGTCACAGCTGAACTAGAGAGAAAAATTCAAATCCCTCTAGTCGGCCCTTCTTTTATTTATACTCTTCTAAGATATACAAGAATTACCATTGTGCCCTCACTTAAGTGAGAGCCACATCAGCTGAACAATACATATATAACTAAACATAAAAGGACTATACTATCCTTGTATAGTCAACTCTAACACTCCCCCTCAAGCTGGTAAGTATACATCAATATAGTCCCAGCTTGTTACATATGTAGTCCACTCTTCCCCAATTCAACCTTTTGGTAAACAGATCTACCCATTGATTTCCTGTGTTCACATATGTTGTACTTATCACTCCACAAAGCACATTCTCACGTACAAAGTGGCAATCCACTTCTATGTGCTTCGCCCTTTCATGAAACACTGGATTAGAGGAGATACGAACTGCAGCTTGATTATCACAGTATAATTTCATAGGAGTGTCAATCGAGTATACCATCTCCTCTAGTAGATGATATAACCACACTAGTTCGCATGTCATGTGTACCATAGCACTATATTCAGCCTCTACACTGCTTCTTGCTACCACTGTCTGCTTTTTACTCTTCCATGTCACTAAGTTTCCACCAAGAAAAGTGCAATACCCTGTAGTGGACCTTCTGTCAAATATGGACCTGGCCCAATCAGCATTTGTGTATCCCTTTATCTCGAGACTTCCTCCATTCTTATACAATAAACCACGACCTGAAGCACCCTTCAAATACCTCA